AGCGGCGGGCCGGGCCGGCGCTCCCCTCGCTGGCAGCGCTCGCTAAGATGGCGGATTTCCTGCCGTCCCGCTCCGCGCTGTCCGGCTGCTTCCCCGGCTGCCTCCTCACCAGCGGCGAGGCCGAGCAGCAGCGCAAGTCCAAGGAGATCGACAAGTGCCTCAACCGCGAGAAGACCTACGTGAAGCGCCTCGTCAAGATCCTGCTGCTGGGCGCGGGCGAGAGCGGCAAGTCCACCTTCCTSAAGCAGATGCGGATCATCCACGGGCAGGACTGGGACCGCGCGGCCCGCGAGGAGTTCCGCGCCACCATCTACAGCAACGTGATCAAGGGTGGGTGAGGGCGGCGGGGACGGGGCCGCCCTGCGAGCTGAGGGCCCTGCCGGGCCGGGGCGGGGGCAGGCGGCTCGGGCGGGTCCCGCGGGCCGGGGAAACGCCGGGGCCGCCGCCGCCGCCTCCTCCCGCGCTGTCCCGGCGCCTCATCCTCCCCTCAGGGCCGGCGCGCAGCTCCTCCGGGCCCGCGGGGTTGTCACTGCGCYGCCCGGGTGCGGCCCGCGGGGCGGCTCCGGCTCCCGGCCCCGGGAGCAGAGGTTTGAGCCCGTGAGGTCCCGGGTTTTGCCTTTTTCTCCTTCGCTGGAGCGAGTCCAGAGAAGGGCAGCAGAGTTGGGGAGGCTGTGGAAGCTGAGAGGGCTCAGCCTGAAGAACAGGACGCTCAGGGGTGACCTTATCGCTGTCTATAAGATCGAAAGGATGTTGTAGCCAGGTGGGRGTCGGGCTCTGCTCCCAGGGAACCAACGACAGGATGAGGGGACAGCATTAATCTGCACCAGAGAAGGTTTGTGCAGGTCATTAGGAGGAATTTCTTCACTTCAGGCAGTGGAATGAGCTGCCCAGGGAGGTGGTGGAGTCACTATCCCTGGAGGTGTTTAAGGAACGACTGGACGTGGCACTTGATGCCATGGTCTGGTTGACAAGGTTGTTTCTGTCATAGGTTGGACTGAATGATATCAGAGGTCTTTTCCAACCTAATTGATTCCGTGATTCTGTGATTTCCTGGTAATGCGATCGCAGTAATGAGCGGTAATGGATGGGGGGGAAGATGCACCTGGAAAAGCCCTGTGCTCTCAGCATTGCACTGCAGTGGAGGAATCGTTGCCGTTGTGTTGGAAACTCGGCTGACACATCAATTAACAGCAACCCGCAGGCAGAGCCTCTTTTCATAGATGCTTTGCCAAAACCTCCACACATGGTTTAGGGGAGTGGACGCTTGATTTCACTGCTGTCATCCTGACTTCATTGGTCATCCTCACTTACTTTCTCTCTAATCTAAATCGCTTGCTGGATTTTCGGTTTGGACTGTGTAATAGTTGGACAAAATTTCAATGAACTTTCTCAAAACAGCAAAGTGTCGCCAGACCTCAGTCCTGAAAAATCCAGTTATTCTCAAAGAGAATTGTTTTGCAAACCTGCTTATGTATCAAGCTTAGAAAAACTACTAATAGCAAGGCAGTAGAAATCACAAGCTTGTATGTCAGCCAGGTTAAAGTTTATTAATCAAGTGCCTCGTGCTCTGTGAAAGTATACACGTAGAAACTGCACATCTGTCTGGAAGGCTGTTTTCCTGAAGTCACAGATAGATTTGACAGATACCTGCCTTTGACAGAGTGAAAAATCTTGGTGAGAGAGTGAACTTTGGCAAAACACTTTGGCACTGAATGACTATGTTACTGCACTGTCACTAGTTGCCACAGCTTAATTTCCTTGTATCTGTTCCCCTGCTTTACAGTTACTTACTCTTTCTGGAATTTTCTTACTATTTTTTCATCAGTACATTTAATACTAGAAATCATTTCCCTGCRTTTCTCTTATCAATATGAGCACAGTTGTTTTAAATCCTTTAGAAAGACAYTGAAAAGAAGTTTTAAATGCTCTTCTTCTTCTGGAGAATATTTACCAAAACAACYGGAAAAGTGTGGGGAAGCCTTTAGGTGATAGAACTCACTTTGCATTTAAGCTGTAAAAACATACTTGTAGAAAGTGCAGTGTTTTTAGTAAATGTTTTAATGTATCTGAAGATGTTAAAGTCAATGATGGAAATACTCTCATTGATAGAGATTCTTTCTATAATTTGATATAACTAGGTAAATTGATGAGAACACAAAGGCTAGAGAACCTTAAGGCAAGATATCAGGTATATTGAAATTAACTTTGTCTTGTATGTGCGCCAGGTGAAAGAGTTTGGTAGCACAAATTTGGTAATTAAAAATAATGCTTTTTCAAGAGTTGAGCTTGCACTGTGGATATTACSCTGTTGATCGTGGTCGTGTTCTGGGGTTTGTTATTACCTGTAAATGTAGTGGTTTGAGTCAATTTTTCGGACACTTCCTGATTCCCTACGGGTGGATGTTCCTATTGAGCTTTGTGCAGAGTAAGTGCATTGTTTGCCTCTGTGCCGATTTGCGGGCTGGTGAAACAGTAGATGCTGAGAAACTGCTCACAGTGCTCTTCCTTGTCCTTCAAGGTGTGCGAGTCCTCGTGGATGCCAGAGAGAAACTCCATATCCCTTGGGGAGACCCTGCCAACCAGAGCAACGGGGACAAGGTGATGGCTTTCGACACCCGCGCRGTCACCGTGGTGCAGGGCATGGTGGAGACGGGTGTTTTTTTAGACTACCTGCCGGCCATCCGAGCCCTGTGGGCTGACAGTGGCATCCAGCACGCCTACGACAGGCGCAGGGAGTTCCAACTGGTAAGATTTGGCCTTCAGTGTCTTTAACTRCCTGTGTGTGATTCTGTTCCTGTGTTGTTTCTCTGTGAAACACTGACCAAGCCGCCTCCTCGTGTGTTTTTGAGTGGTTGACTGTTCTTCTGTGGTGTTGCACACAGCTGCATTTAGCTACTTCCACCCCTTTTTTCAATAGTAATAAAAGCGAGTCTGACGTAATTGTCCTCATTTCATATGTGGGAAAGCTGAGGTATTGAGGGCTTTTAAGTTCTGTAACAAAGCTAGTACCTGCACGGTGTTTTTACCATATGATTATTACCACCCTTTGTCAACTGGTGCATCAACTTAAAAAAACAAACCAAARAAATGGTTTGCCATAAAGACAGGCTAAATAGTAATGTGATTTTTTGAAGAAAAGATATGCATGGGTTAATGAGAAGAATTTAAAAACCACTCCCTTCTCTATTCCAGTTTGAGCAATCTAGCAAACATTCCCTCTGTATACTTCCTGTTTAATTTTGAATGTCTGTTAATACTCATGTAATGAGGTTTTTGTTACATTGAGGTTCTCAGCTGAAGATGGAATACACAATTTAATAGTGGGGTAGAGATGGAGTATACAATTCAGTAGTGGGGTTGGAAAGGAAAGAGAAACCTCTTGATTCTTGAGCTGAAGTTTTAACTGTCTGTGACAGCTGAAGTCCATTTGCTCCACCCCATCCAAATGCTGCAAAAAAGAAGAAAAATTTGAGTTAAATTTGMTTGTTGGTTCATAGAATTGTGTGTGCCAGTGGCATAGGGTTTTGTGGGGGTGGGGGTTGAGAACCTTAAAATAGATTAAATCTGTTCTTGTAGGTCTCTCAAACATAAGTGGCTTTGTGTTTTTATGTCTTAAAAATAACCTTTGTGTTAGTGTGAATCCGAACAATGGCTCATGATGTCTCCTGTTGAGCTATTATGAATGGTTGTGTAATCACACCCTGACTTAAAGCGGTTGTGTAAATATTCTATAAATATGTATTGCCATGATCATGGAATGTCTTCTGGAGATTGCAGAATGGGCAGGTGCTCCAGTGGCCTATCACCTGCCCAGCCCAGGGCTGAGCTCTGTAAATAAGTTCCTAAGGAGACCTGTTGCTCCTTGGGTTTCACCTTCAAGTGATCATAAAAGAGTAATTGCTCTTCCATAGCCAAGATTCTGGTGCAGATGTGACTTCTAGTGGTGTAATTGCTGTGCTGGAGGGATCTGCTCTAAAATCTGTTCAGTAAAACAGTTTTGTTTTCGATTAAACATGTTCAGTGACTTGAGGCTGTGTAGCAAAAGGAAGGGAGCAATTACTGTTCTGTCATCTTGAGTCTCTGGGAAGTGGGTTCTTTCCATAACTGAAACATGTGCAGAGTTTCACTTTGAGTGGGATGTGAAGAATTTGTTCTTCTGAATCTTACAGAAAAAAAAGCTGTTGCTTTCTTCTGTAAATCCCCAGATCTGTGTAATTATCTGCAAAAATATATATTTATTGTGTTGTGCTTTAGGCAGAACTCAGGAATATTTTTAAGTACTCTTCATAGTTGAGTACTGTCCTAATAATTTTTGAAAGCAAGGTAACTGCCTTATTTATACTTACATTACTTTATTTCCTAAATCCTTTCAAAATCTCAGCTGGACATATTTATGCCGAGTTATAAACATGAAGGAAAAAAAAAAGGCAGCTGAATGATGTCATTGTGTTGAGTGCAGGCAGTGTGATCTGTGCTGGCCAAGCATGAAGTCTCAGTTTTACCCCAGTAAGCTTCAGCTTAAGTTCTGCCAGAGCTCCATGTGGGCGGCAGAACAGAGGGAAGCTCCTGGAGCTGGGTGGTTTTTTGCTGTACCTGCTACARGCTTTGCAGGAGAATATTCAGAGAGTTTATTAGGTCTGTGCTGTGACAAAGAAGGAGGGACACAAATAGTTAAGGAGGGAGTGACAGGCGTGTCCCAGTCAGGAGGTAGAGCAAGGGGAAGTTGGGAGAGACACAGACAGTTCAGTCGTGTCAAGTACTGACTCTTGAAGTGAAGGCTACAGACTTAAAAATTTTTAACACTGTAGAATGGGGAGAAAGGAAAATATTGTTCTGCTTCCAGTTTTGCTGCTTGGGGCAAAAAAAATGTATGGAAAGAAGAGGTAGCAGCAAACATTAGATGAGTAGGAGAAAGGGAAAATTGGCACAAAAATAGTGTGAGGTGCTGGGACTGACATAGTAGAGGAGCATCAGTGGATTGTAYGTGCTCTAACTTCTTTTCAGCCTGTTCAGTGAGTTAAACTTTGCTCACTGGACCAAGTTTGACACTGCACTGAAAAAGATGGCTCATACTAAGAGAGCACAGGCAGAAATGCTGGGAAAGTGTTGTCCACCATGGGWATAGGACACTTGGTGACAGAGATASAGGTGAGCAAATGAAAAATTGAGCAGTGATGGGTAAAGAGTTTAAAATGTCAAAATTTACATWCAAATTTTGGAGGAAAAGCAGCAAGAGTGTTTAGTGTAGAAGCCATTTGCAGCTTGGGCAGATAGGAAATACCAAGAAAGAGGGTTTAAGATTGAAGTTTCTGCAAGAATATGGTTAAAACTTCTATATGCAMAAAGTATATGTACATTTGTGAGAGATTGCTGAGCTGCTCTTGCTTTTTTCATTTTTCTTCAGGATCTTTTATTGACATAGCCAGAGATGATGCTTGGAGCCTAAGGAAACAATGTGATCTTTTTATAGCTGCATGGGAGGGGGGAAAAACAGAACTTGGTTGTATTTTAATGGAATTAGGAATCAGCATTTCCATGTCTAGTTCTTTGGAGTGTCCTTCCTCATTTTGTTAACTCAAGTGGTCATGGGATAGCCAGTATGATTTATTTTCCTCTGTACAAAAATAGGGGCCTTCTGGCCACTAGCAGCAGCATTTATGAAAATTCATGAGGTCATGCTTGTGTAGTGCTTTAAAACTGGAAATAGCTAATTACAGCTTAGTGCAATATGTGCCACTTCAGTGCTTCCCAGGTGGTTAATGTTATAATCCCTCACATTTTATTACAAACCAAACTCATTCAGGTGATTGTTCCACTAACACGGGTAGCTACAGACTGTCCTGGCTCTGTAGCTGAGGCAGTTCTGTAACTTCACTGAGGATTCTGTCAGCCTCAGGCTTTCTGTGCTTCAGCCACCAGGCTTGTTTCTCCTGTGGCCTCTCAGGTGGCTGACACGGATGAGTTACAGATTAGTCTGAATCAACGCAATGCTTTCTGACACCTCATTAGCATTTCACATTTCCCTTCGCTGCTTGGTTTCCGGTAAAAATCTCCTGAAATGACTTGTATAAACACGGCCATTATGCTAATTCTGCAGCATGCAGACTGATTTACCTGGGCATTTCCTAGCTTTTCTGTTGGTGCTGGTGAGCTGTTCAGTGTGTGGCTGTCAGGGTTTGCTGTTCTCCTGGAGGTTTGCTCCGAGGCACTGGCAGCTGAGCAATGTTGGTGCTGTGCATTGTAACTCTGAGCAAGGCACTTGTGAGTAARAGCAGCCTCTCATGTCAGTCATTTCTTGAGCTTGCTGTGAGAGCTGTTCACAGAGAAGCATTTTGAAGTATTCTCCAGGAGTCTTCTCATTCTCTGAGAATGGCARTGTCTGATGAGAGCTGAGTTGCTCAGATGCGTGATGAGCTTTGAATATGTTCAGGGTTTGTTCTTGTTAAAGCTRACTTTTGGGTGGGTTTTGATCTTTGCTTCCAGCAGTTGTTGATCTTCAGACAGATACTTTTTGCCCTACTTGCAAGTTACAGTGAATGTTGTTGGGGGTATTTAAGCCAGGAAGCTGCAGGGGCAGAGATGATGCTTCATTTCTGTCCATATTTGCATGGAACTGCAGACATAGATGATACAGTAAGGATTGTAGAATATGCACTCACCTCTGGATCACAGCTATTTTTGTGACATGTCTGCAAATGCTAGATCAGATGATAGAAGACAGGAAAAGGCGTGTTCTGCTTGAAGTTACACTGATAGCTTTGCGGCAGTTTTTGGCAAGTATGTTGTTCAGTTTACTGAGAGATTATATTGYATTGTATTACCTTATTATGCTTGGGCTTTACAGGGTTTTGTCTGAAGAGTAGTGAAGCTGTTGTACACAGAAGAGCATTAATTAAATGCTACTGAAATTTTGAGTCCTCAAATGGACACTGCAGAGTGTTAGGAAAGTTTAATGTTCTTTCAGATGCACAGACAGCACATCTTGAAATAGGCCTGATTATAGAGCAGGATGCTGCAGAGGTTAGTTGTGTGGGAAGCCAGGCTAGCTTGCCTGATGTTGAGGTCTTTGCCTTTTGGAGGGTGGATGCCCATCTKCTGGAACAGCTGTGAGGTCAGTGCACCATGTCCTGCTGAAGTCACAGGTGTAGAGCCTGGAAAAAGTGTGTTTTACCTGTGGTTCATTCAACCTGTTGCTTGTGACACTGATTTGCAGAAGCCTTTCAGCAGCTTGTGCCTGCTGTAATGTGTGATTTTCATCCCAGTGTTCATCTCTAACCTCCCCATGCCTCTAAGTTGGGAAGTAGGTGTGGCTTTCCCCTTGGATCTCCTCTTGGATCTGAGATTGGGTGTTCAGTTGTCCCACTCTGTTTCTGCATGAAGGGTGCAGGAGATGCTTCTTCTAGGACATGCCTGAGTTCATAAACTATTGGGAGAAGGTTTCTGAGCATGACAGGAGAATCAATCACATCAGACATGAGATTCGGTCACCCAACATTTCTCTAAACATTGACTATTTGGGCACTTAATCACATAATTCATAATTGRTTTATTGTAATGCAGTGTTGTAATTACACTGAATATTGCTTAAATTTCTGTGTGGAAACCCAAAATRCTGCTGCTTTATAATGTGTTGAAATATGAGCAGTTTTTTCCCCTCTTTCCCAAATCAGTACTCTGCCAGAGATCACAGGATGGCCTGTGTACAATGAGAATGACTCCTTAAAGCCCTTGGAAAGGGCTACCTG